TGGGGTGGGGGCCGAGATGAGATTTTATTGACCGATGCGGTGGAGGAGCGAGGCGGGTCGGAAGGGGTGTGCAGGGGGGAGTAGAAGCGAGGGGAGGGCTCACGTCTGCGTCCAGCGTTTACTACTACACTCGCATATACTCGAGTGACAAACGCTTGACGAAACTCAGTGTCAAGGAAGGTCGAACCGTCGTCCCGCGCGTTGCACGGTCGTATACCTGATCGGGCCCGCGGGTTGTCACCAATTCCAATTCACATGCATGGGGTTAAAATCGGCCCAATAAACACGAAAAACTCACGAGGACGTCATATTGACATCAAAAGGACTCATTTGGTCACGAGAAAGGTCAAAATTAAGGCCAAAACTCGGTCATTTTGACGTCAAATGACCGAAAATGACCTTTTCGTGACATTTTCGTGTTCCCTGGGGGGGTCTTCATACATTACTGGTTAAGGAAAAAGAACTCCGTGTCACGTATTTCGACACAATTACCCGTACATTTTAATGAAAGATGGTTGTTTGCACTTCTTAAACAGAAGCTTGGTAAATAGACGAGTAGGCGCCATCTTGCGGCGAAGAGCGTAACTCGGTCGACAGTCCCTTGTAATTCCACCCTTTGCGGGGGGTGGTGGTGGTTGCAAATAACCACTCCGGTAAAGCTGGGGAGAAGAAATGCGGGGTACAAAAGTCAAGACACCTTGTTGTAGCACAGTAATTTCCGTTTTTTTTTTGTTTTTTTTTTTTTTTTCATTTTAACTTTAGCGGAATGGTTTACCACCTGAGGCCTGAGGTGAATTGTGAAAAAATCTTCCTCTATCAGGGAACACCAAGGTCGGTAGAATAGAGAATCACAGACATCACAGACCGTGCCTATTTTGTGTCAACGTAATTGGTCTTGTGTTTTGATCTTTGGATCAAAATTATCAAACTACCGGGTGGCTGGCACGCCGCGTACTTTCTTAGTTATACTTGTAAACGCATGCAAGCGTGCGGGTTGCTTACTCGCACAGGGTCTTAGGCCGTGGTCAGCGAGCATGCAGGGTGGGTGATCCGCACCGTGTTTTTTCCTGCTTATACTGTCCCGGATGCATTCTTGCGTGCGGGCTTGCTTATCGTCGCTCGCCATGGCGCCTTGCAGCCCCGTGCGAGTATGCAACCCGTCCGCACGCATGAATGCGGTACAGTATAAGCAGAAAAAAACCACGGCGCGAATCACCCACCCTATAGGCAAACCGTCCCGCACCTGTCCATGCGGCACAGTATAACTACAAAAGTGCGCGGCGTGAGTCAGACACCTAGTACATTATTCCATCTAAAAAAAAATTAAAAATGTGTATTTTTTGTGGTAATTCTTGTAGAATTGAAAAAAAAATCATAATATTCCCGTGCTAAACTAACTAGCTGTCTCCATTGCTCACCTGCTTTAAAATAATCCGTAACGAGTTCGGTATCCAATTGAAGATGAAAGGTGAGGTGCACTACACGGCACGCGCCGAATTGCGCGCGCGCTCACGCACACACACGGCCTTTGCGTCCTTCCCTATGCGAGCCAGCGGTGCAACTGACTGCATCAGCCAGCAGGCAGCAAGATATCCCTTCCCTTGCCATTCACAAGCCCCACCCCTAAAGGATTGAAGCGACCTCTGCATGGACCTCTTTTTTATGTTGAAGCGAACCAATGGGTTGAGGGGAAGGCACGGGAGGGAAGGGGTGCGGGCGGCACGGGCGGCCTGGCCCTGGCCTGCACTGCAGCCGCCCCACCCCTACTCGCCTCTGCTCCTGCTCCTCTCGCGGGGCTCGCCATGAGCATGAGCTCGCCAGACATGGTGGCGCGAGACATGGTGGGAAGGGCTGCCATGGGGTCGGGAGGTCACAAGGTTGAACTAAAATAGTAGGCCCAAGAAGAAAGCCAGGCAGTAGAAGAATTACTTTTAAAAAAGGGCAAACGTTGTTGGAGTACAGCTTGGTATTTAATGTAACAGAAATGCGCTTTAGAGAGCAATTGGAAAGAGAGTCTAGTCCACAATGGGTTTGGGAATACATTATAGACTTACATAAGATGTCATGAGACACACAGAACAATCGTACACGGGGTTTGCATTATACAAAATCAACAATAGTTTCTTTTTTTTCTGTCATATAAATATGAAAATACGCCCAAAAGAAGAATAATGTTGAAAGCATAAAAATGTGCAACAAACCAGATGTCTGAACCCAAGTAACAGTCTCACTAATACAGCAAATAAACAAAACATTTAGATATGTTATTAAACTAAAAAGAGAAGACTAGAGAATTGTAACTTTATAAACACTATAGCAACAACAAATCATCCACAGGAGTAAGTGACCAATTACAAATGGAGTATACTCCGCACTTGAGTGCACAGTGCCGAAAATAGAGATAAATACAAAGTGATGTCTAATAATTGAGATATGTCCACACTCACTTCTAGATGAACATTAGTCTGACTATGATTTAGAGAGGAAAAAAAAAATAGTACATTACAGGTAACAAAGGCTTAGCCTAGCTTCATTGACTTAGAAAATACTGGAACAGCAAAGCACATTTTAATAAGTCAAGCATGTGCAATCTAAGCAGAACAAACATGGAGAAGTTAAGAGAAGAAACAAGAACAGTTTTCTTTTCTAAAACAAATAATGAGAGGAAATTGGGAAAAATTCTACCCCACTCTCTGTTTTGTGGAAACAGTTAAGTAGTATGAATAAATCTCATTAATAAAATGTAAGTGCTTTGTATACGAGGAAAGTAAAAACTACATTGAAAGGCAATGACAAAACAAGTACACATAACAATAACAAACAGACTTATAAAAATCAGTCTAAGTTGGTAGAATACTTTATCATAGCATTCTAAGAAATTTCCCCTTAAAAATGAACATATAGGAAAACAAAAACAAAAAATACACACTATGCCCTTTTATACAGTAAGACATAAGGTATGGTTCAGAACAACCAAAATACATTTGTTAAGTTATCATTAACACTTTCACTGCCAGCTTTAAAAAAAGAAAAAGAAAAAAAGAAACCTACAACCTCATGTGTGGTTGTGTGGCAGTAAATGTGTTAAAGAGACAAATTGTGACTAAAAGCAGTAGAAAAGCAACATTTTTTGGTCATATCTTAGGTTTATAAACATATGTATATAATGTGGACCAGACATGATACTTGTAAGAGAAAAGAGAAAATCAGAAGAACCATTGCACAACATAACTGCATCCATGGATAGCTTGTTCAAAGATGGATCAGTTGATACATTTAAAGAAACAAGAGGATCAAAAATTTCACAATAAATTAATTATGAAAAAGTTGATGATTTTGATTGGAGACTAAAATGTCTTTGAGACACAGCCTTCACCAACCATAAGAGAATATTTCATTCAATTCAACAATACAAAAGTGGGCCAATCAACAGCATGAAGCTAAATTAATTTAAACAGTGGTGAACAACAAAAATAAAATTATCAGTCGATGCAACTGGACATTTTACTTTCCACAGATGATAATTTTAGAAAATGAATTTACAGTAGAACATAATATTCAGTGGATTAGAAATATGTGTTACAACTTACCCGTTCATTTTGCCCGTCTCTGGCTATATGATCCTTATATGAAGGTTCAGCTTGTGATTCAAGTGGTTGATTTGTAGACTATGTAAGTGTATACAATTAAATCCGATGTAGAGCTCAGATGCCACAAGAAGTCACAGATGAGTCTGAAATTTGGAATTATATCATCAAAAACAGAAAAAGGGAAAAAAATACAAAATTTGAAAAAAAAAAAATACAAAATAATGTTAATCTTATGATGTGCACACACTAGTACATTATTCCATCTAAAAAAAAATTAAAAATGTGTATTTTTTGTGGTAATTCTTGTAGAATTGAAAAAAAAAATCATAATACACCCGTGCTAAACTAACTACCTGTCTC